CGCCCGGCCTCATCATAATTTCTTGCCTAAAATACTGTACAACTCTCCAAAATGGTCCCTTTCATTCCTGTCACCCTCAAATCTAAATTCTACATGGCAACCAGAATGACATTTATTTTTTATTTATTTCTTTTTCTTTTTTTAATAGATATGGAGTCTCACTATGTTGGCCAGGTTGGTCTTGAACTTGTGGCCTCAAGACATCCTCCCGCCTCGGCCTCCCAAAATGCTGGGATTATAGGCATGAGCCACCATGCCCAGTCCCAGAATGTAATTTAAAAATCTTACCATCCTGGCTAACATGGTGAAACCCCCTCTCTACTAAAAATACAAAAAATTAGCCAGGCGTGGTGGCAGGCGCCTGTAGTCCCAGCTACTCGGGAGACTGAGGCAGTAGAATGGCGAGAACCTGGGAGGCGGAGCTTGCAGTGAGCCTAGATTGTGCCACTGCCCTCCAGCCTAGGTGACAGAGCAAGACTCCGTCTCAAAAACAAAAAAAAACAAAAAAAAACCCCTGAAAACTGGGGCCAGGCACGGTGGCTCACACCTGTAATCCCAGCACTTTCGGAGGCTGAGGCGGGCAGATCACTAGGTCAGGAGATCGAGACCATCCTGGCTAACATAGTGAAACTCCGTCTCTACTAAAAACTACAAAAAAAATTAGCCAGGCATGGTGGCGGGCGCCTGTAGTCACAGCTGCTCGGGAGGCTGAGGCAGAAGAATGGCGTGAACCCAGGAGGCAGGGGTTGCAGTGAGCCGAGATGGTGCCATTGCACTCCAGCCTGGGCAACAGAGGGAGACTCTGTCTCAAAAAATAAATAAATAAAAATAAAATAAAATAACAATAAATAAAAAATTAGCCAGGCATTGTGGCGTGTGACTGTAGTCCCAGCTACTCAGGAGGCTGAGGCAGAAGAATTGCTTGAACCTGGGCGGCGGAGGTTGCAGTGAACTGAGATCGTGCCACTGAACTCTAGTCTGAGCGACAGTGCAAGTCTCCGTCTCAAAAACAAAAACAAAACAAAACCCTTTGTGGCAAATGAACCCTTTTACCTCAGGTTATCAGGCCATAATCTAGTCCCCGCCCTCGACAATTACATTTCATACCATTCTCTATCTTGCCCACTACATTCCAACTATGCTAGTCTTTTTCTCAGTTTCTTCAATGCTCCGTTTTCCCATGTGAGAAATTTCACATATGCTATTTCCTTTGCCTGAAAAGCTCTCACTTCACCTTCAGACTACTGGTTCTCATTCCTCAAGTCTTGGCCTTAAATCTCACTTCTGGCCTGGCGCGGTGACTCACGCCTGTAATGCCAGCACTTTGGGAGGCTGGGGCGGACGGATCACCTGAGGTTAGGAATTTGAGACCAGCCTGGCCAACATGGCGAAACCCCGTCTCTACTAAAAATACAAAAAAAATTAGCTGGGCATGGTGGTGCGTGCCTGTAGTCCCAGCTACTCGGGAGGCTGAGGCAGGAGAATCGCTTGAACCGGGGGGGCAGAGGTTGCAGTGAGCCGAGATCACGTCACTGCACTCCAATCTGGCGACAGAGGGAGGGAGACTCTGTCTCAAAAAAAAAAAAAAAAAACAAAACCAAAAAACTAGCCGGGCATGGTGGCGCACGCCTGTAATCCTAGCTACTCTGGAGGCTGAGGCACAACGATTGCTTGAACCCGGGAGGTGGTGGTTGCAGTGTG